TCTTCATTATGCAGTGAGAGGTTGTAAAGTCACTTCTTGTTTGCCGCACCAAAAGCGTTATGCACAATAGGACTTTGGTGAAGACTCATTTCCATCATCTTATCAATGCCACTAAGTGCTTGAATAAACTACATGCATCTCAAATATCTTGCACAGACAGGAAGTATGATCCAGCGATATTTTCTGTGCTTGGCTACAGCTGTGCCATTTACAACACTACGGATAAAGCTCTAACAGCATTTCCAGTATCGACGGCCACACCACCCCCTCCTGTGATTTTTTCGGATCTCATGTGCCCCAGCGCCGTTAGGCTTGGTCAAATGCCATGCAAGCACAAACCAGGCTGCAGGTTGTGACACTGGTGATCATTCTGAGCCAGAATTAAGCCAATGGTTCAGCACAATGCTACAAGGCACTGTATTATTTGGAGGTGCCCTCATCTGAGTGAAACGTTAAAGGATTCCTGGACAAGTAGTACAGTGCTAGCCTCCTGGGTCAAGTTCACACCATTTATAACCGGATGCAACTTCACTGATTTAAAGAAATAATCCAGATAACATTTGGCCCATTCTGAGCCAGAATTAAGCCAATGGTTCAGCACAATGCTACAAGGCACTGTATTATTTGGAGGTGCCCTCATCTGAGTGAAACGTTAAAGGATTCCTGGACAAGTAGTACAGTGCTAGCCTCCTGGGTCAAGTTCACACCATTTATAACCGGATGCAACTTCACTGATTTAAAGAAATAATCCAGATAACATTTGGCCTAGAAGAACAGGGCCTTTTTAAAAGCAATATTTGAAGAAACTTGTCCAATCATTATTATGCTATAGCATGCAAAAGCAAAGTACTTGGCCAGTGAGTTTAGGATTGAAGGACCAAGTTCTAAATACAACTACATGATACACAATTTTCTCTACATAGGCCTCGGAAATTGTGCCGTCAGATCAGATGCAATAACATGACACATGAAGGAAATGTTTGACAAGAACTCGAGCAAAAACCTGCAAAGTTATTTTAACAGAGTTTCAGAGTGCGAATGAGTCTTCTTTTTCCTGCAGCTGCAAAACTTCCAGGGATTTTCAGATATTACTTTTAACTTTCATGCTGTGCATGGAGCCCTCTTCTGGAGAAATTTGAAAAATAAAGGAAAGCTGAATAATTTTTACAGCTCTGTGGTGCGTACCTATAAAGGATGTTTTCTGTAACTAGATATTTAATTTATAGATTAGATAGATAGATAGATAGATAGATAGATAGATAGATAGATAGATAGATAGATAGATAGATCACTTGTAGATTTCACAGTGATTCCTAGAATTCTCAGATACTGTAGCTTCCTTATATTATAAACTGTATCATAACAATTACCCATATAACCTACTGACAACCACTTGATGATACTGTTGGATTCAAATTGATGATAAAGTTGAATTCACTTATCTATATTTCAATGTAGTTCATTAACATGCCAAAGCAACTCCTTTGAAGAATGTTCTTTTTGCCTACAAATGAAACTTTAGTATATACATTTTAAGTCTTGGTGAAATTATGGTTTCTATAGTAGGGAAAATATTTAGAGATCTATAGATATTTAATCATAAACAAATACAGTAAGTAGTAAATGCACAGATGCAAATTACCAGCAAACAGTCCAAACTTTCCCTGTCATCTTCAGATTTATTAAAATGTTCAGTGCATGTATTCTTCAAAGATTTCCATGAACTGACAAGCTCCTAAGAATGTCCTCATTAGCTACTCAGATTGAAATACACTGTACTGAAAAAGAGTCTTCCTCCATCAAATTACGAGAGAGAGAAATGGCAGTAAAACAATCCCATTAAGTAGATCAGTCTTTTGGATAGCAAATTAAAATTCAGCACTCAATCATCTATCTGCTATAGATTAACCCTCACTAAACAAACCAACTCATGAAAGTACACTCAGCTAAAGAGTGTGACAGCAAAATGTCCAGAAAATGAGTTCTCAGCCTGTACTTGTCAACCACTGACAATTTTTAAAATTCCAGTTTGTTTTAAAAGACTGATTTGTTTTTATTAATTACTTCTGACCTGAAAAAATATATATTAAACTTTAATCTCTGCACATTTAATATTCTCACTGGCCAGTAATGTACTCTGCAGAGTAGAGATATGCCTTGTCTTCCCTCCCTCAAAGTTATCCATTCTTGTTTTGAAATTGAATTATACTTTTCCTCCACTGCCCACAAAAGTACTGCCTTTGCTGATGTTTATAATTTAAAAATCAGCTTATCGGGATTGATTTTTGCTAGTTTCACTAGAAGGTGTTATAGAAGTAGCTGTTGCTATCGCTGCGAAGAAAAAAAACTAACAAAAATGTGTTACAAACACTACCCCTGCCAGATGGCTATATATTGTTTCTCCCATTCTTCCCTTTACTCCTCTTGTCACATGAAAGTTCTGTGTATGAGTGTTGAGTCTATGAGGATATCTGTGCAGCATTTTAATAATTCCCCTTTGCTCTCTTCTCCCACCATCAATGTCTCATGTATCATCAACAATTAATATTTTACACTGACTCTATTCAACAAACCAGGTTTATTTACATACACTTTCCTATTACCAATTGAACTGGATTGCCTAATAAATTCACTTGCTGTTATTTATTTGGTGAATCCTTGAGGGGCAGGGGGGGGGGGGAGAGAGAAATCACCCGTTAGAAGGAGGGATTGCTTACTATACCTTCCTATCCTGATAAGAGAGGATGGATCATAGTTTCAACACTCTTCAACACTGGGTATTATGAAGCACTAAGAATTCAGTCCTGTAGCATGCTCAACACACTCGCTCTGAACCAGCAAACCACAGAAGCATCTTCTTAACTTAAGCATGTGAGCAGCCTCGATGCCAGTAGCCTCAGTGAAGGCATGCTTAAAATTAAGCTAGTGCTCAAGTGGTTTCCAAGAGAAGGTGTTCTGCCCCTTGCAGGATTGGGCAGTAATATACTGTGAAGTGCGTTGGTGACTCTAGAATGCAAGCTGCTTTGTTTCTTGACAAAAGAGGAACATTCGAATGAGAACTGGAACCTGAGCTGACTCATTTGGTGCATTAAAGAACCCCAGGGAGAAAAAGTCATGGAGAAATTAGGGTGCAGTGCAGTGGAGAAGGCATTCCTCAAGTCTTGGGGGAGGGTGCCAGCTTAGTGCAGCAGACAAGTTCCTGCTGCGGTGTTGGGCTCCCAGAATGCACCCCCTCTGATTAGCACCTGTTCGCTCCATGCTTCAGCCTTTGTTGGCAGCTCCCTTTGCCCAGCTGCCTGCCTGAGCAGTCCCCGCCAGCCCTTGAATCTCAGCCCATTCTGGTAGCTTCCTCACCCGGATGCCCAAGTGGGCACCGCCAGGCAGTCCCAGAGCCTCAGGCCATGCCTGTTGTGGGCAGCAGCGTGCCCGCTCTCCCATATGGGCAGCCTCAGCTAGCTCAGCTCGCCTGGCCCTCTGCCCATTTGCATGCCCACCCAGACAGTCCATAGAGCCTCAGCCTATGCTGCTAGCTTTGCTTATGTGGCTTCCCACAGACACATCCCCAGTGGGTGCCACGCATGCATTCTTAACGCTCCCATCCCCACTGTATCTGGGCACAAAGTACAGGACCTGGAACAGCAGGATTTACACACTACTTACAAAGAGACAGACTCTGAGCCCTCTCTCTCTCTGTGTTATGCCTTTAAGTGGGATTATTCTTAGTGCACAAACAGTTGAAACCCACCCAGCCACCCATCCGCTCCCTCAGGCAAATTCGCAGCCAAACACCAGCTCTCACTCTGTATCGCAATTTCACCAGCTACCCACATGTGTGCGCCCAGCTGTAGTCAGGTTGTACCAGAAGCCAAGCATGCCCACCCTGGAGCCACAACCCACAGCGAGCAGGCGCTCCGTTCATCCAGCTGCCTTCCGCTCACAGCCCCCTGGCGTGCCTCCTCTCAGCAGCAAAGCTCGCCCTGCAATAAGCCCTCACTCTTCTCTAAAAGGCAGCTTAAAACCCATGTAGAAACTGCAGATGCACACACAGACTCAGCATCCCAAGTGTGAACAGACCCCCCCCTCCCCCACATGCCGGCCTCCCAAGGCAGTTCAAGCCCCAAGTCAAAAAGAAATGAACTTTTATCTTACTAAGTGCAAGGGCTGTCAGTGATACGTTCCCTTAATGGGAGTTTACAGAGCTCCTAGGACAAAATATGTTAAGTGTATTACACCCAACACCAATAAAAAAGCCTCCAACAACACACTGTGCTTTCAAAACTTAACACATAAGGAGGGTCAGGAGGAGAAAGGGGTGGGGGGGGGGGGAACCAAAGCTAGAGAGAAGTCAGAAGCCAGCTAGTTCCTCTGCTTTGAGTGACAGAAGCAGCAGGGTTGGAGCAGCCCCCTGGGTTTCAAGGCAGGGTGTTTTTTTCTGCTTTTGACAGAGGGGATCTATTACAGTTAATAAGGGGAAAGGCTACACATAGCGAGTCACTAACATGGAGTACTATACATATCAAGAGAGTGAAGGGGGATCTTTTGCATGCTTGGATTTTTTCTCTCCTTTGCATCGGTTTTCTTATTTCTAAAAAAGCAATAAATAACGTAAGCTGTCTATATCCGATTCGTCTAAGCGGCACCAGCCACAGAGGGAAGAGGCAAATCAAAGTTGCAGGGTTCGATATGGCAAAAAAAATTGCTGCTACCAAAAGACTTGAAAGATCTCTCCCTCTCACACACACAACACACAGCCTCTCCCCCCACCCCCTGAAAGGAAAACATTGTTATCTTTTGCAGAGCCAATTTGTTGTAATTGTAAATCAGGGAGATATAAGATTCTATGTTCCGTGCTGTGTAACAGAGAGACCTTGCATCCTTCGACAGTAATTCAAGCAATGTATAATTACTCAGAAATCAAACCTGAATCACAAATACTTCCAAATCCAAATGCAGAAGAGAGGAAAACGAATGAAAGCAAGAAAAAACATCCAATTTCTTACCTGGGATAGTAGAAAGGGCAGAGTAAGTTGAGTTTTGTGCAGCATTTTGCCAGATTAGAAGGTACCGGAGGCTTTTTCATTCATGCACTCGGCTGCACTGAGCATATTTTCACTGTGAAACAGCCTTTGAGAAGAGACTCTGCCTTGAGTGCCAGCCAACTTCCCAAATAGATCAGCAGCATCATCACTAAAGCATTGGATAGAGTCTGATGACCAGAACCAATAGCTTTACAAGGATGATTTCTTCACAAAGCATCCCCATTTTGCATCACACATATTGGGCAAGCACCTCTCACAAACACAGCACCTTTAGTAAGCTTTTGGCTTTGGTAAATTTGTGTGTTTAGTTTCAGTCTTACAAATCATGCTTTATGGATTTCATTAGTGCTTTGCTTTTTCAGAGAATGGAATTGCACAGGGGGAAATAACAGCAACTCAGAGCACCGGTGCAAAGAGATTCTCTTTATTAAAATGTTAATAAGGTGTGCTTTATTTTCAATAAATCAAAAAGATGACCACTGCAGCTTTAGTTACTTGCAAGCCTTGGAATAACAGAGTGGAGTTTTTCAGTGCAGCAGAAATACTGATTATATTTTGTGTTTCCCCTCCATCTCACAAATCACAAGGAGGACAGATCAATTCTAGCCTGCAGGAAAAAAAAATCCATCATAGGGCGATAGATTTTATTAACTGCTCAGGTAATGGGTGGACCGGCTTTCGACTCAATGAACTTGAATCTAGGACTAAGTTTCTCAAGTCTGTGTCCTTCAATTATGGGAACTTTTCTTCTTTGCAAGGGAATCTGATGTTATGAGAAACAAAGAGTGGGGGGAGGGAGGGTAGTCAAATTACTATGTTATAGCTAGCAAAGTAATAATATTATGCAGGTGGGACCCCAAGCAGAAATCCAATGTCCTCTTTGCACATTTTGCCCTCATTTCTGCCCCCTCAGATGCAACCAGTTGCTTTATCCCCATCATCTAATCTCTGGATGGTTTTGCAACAGTAATCCTGACATCCCTCCCTCCCTCCCCACTCTTGTCTCACTACCACCTGCGGCTGTCTCCCCACCACTAACTCCTCTATGGCTCTAAAAGCCTGACGGTGTGTCTACAAGAAGTGATTAACCCCCTTTATTTAGCACTGGTGAGGTATCCAGTGGAGTATTGCATCCAGTTCTACCCTCTCCCGCCCCATGACAGAAAGGATGTGGACGCATTGGAAAGGGTCCAGCAGAGGGCAACCAAAATGATTAGGGGGCTGGAGCACATGACCTACGAGGAGAGACTGAAGGCTTTGGGCTTATTTAGTCGGCAGAAGAGCAGAGAGAGGGGAGATTTCATGGCAGCCTTCAACTTCCTGAAGGGAGGTTCCAAAGAGGATGGAGAGAGGCTGTTCTCAGTGGTGACAGATGGCAGAACAAGGAGCAATGGTCTTAAGTTACAGTGGGAGAGGTCTAGAATGGATATTAAGAAAAACTATTTCACTAGGAGGGTGGTGAAGCACTGGAATGGGTTACCAAGGGAGGGGGTGGAATCTCCATCCCTAGAGGTTTTTAAGTCTCAGCTTGACAAAGCCCTGGCTGTGATGGTTTAGTTGGGGTTGGTCCTGCTTTGGGTAGGGGACTGCACTCTATGACCTTCTGAGGTCTCTCCCAGCCCTAGGACTCTACAATTCTGATACACAGCACTGTCACTCAAAATAAGATACACAATTCGAGCTACGCAAATCGTGCATCTTATTTGGATGCTATTTCACATGGCACCAAATTTCAAAATAAAGCGCTATTCCAGAGCGTCCCTTTCTCCTCGTAGAATGCGGTTTACAGGAACGTTGGAAAAGTGAGCCCAGAATAATGGACTTGCTGTGAAGATGTGGGATAGCTATTTCTCAATACGCCAGTATCCCGAAATACCGTTGCAGTATAGATGTACCCACAAAGTCGTGGGTTTTCTGCAGCCAGCTATTTTCCATGTTCCTCCGCATCAGCTGGAGCGTCCTGTAGAGAGGGGCGTGACTTTGCAGTATTCCCAACCCCTGGACTCACCCTAGCTGCTCTGAGTACGCAACCTCTCCCCCATGAGCCAATCCAAGACTGAGGAAAGGAGCTGTCCTTAGACTGTGAGCCTTCTCATGAAGTAGCAGCCTGGGTCCCCTGCACTCATAAGCACCGTCAGGGATCTGTTTTGACCTATGTATGGATCAGAGCTCCAAGAGGAAACAGCTTGCACTGGCAGTGTTCTCAAAGGCCTTCCTGCCTTCTCTACTCCTAGCTTCTCTGCTATCAGATGGCTTTCTGCAGAAGGCTTCTCCCTGCTTGGACCTTTCTCCTCCCCTTTCTGAGGCAGAAGGCCTAGCTCGCTGGGGCAAGCTCTGCCCTGTAGCATGTGTCCTTGACTACTGGAGGAAAAAAAAAAAGGGAATCACCCTCTTAGGTTCTCTTTCCAGTACTGCTATGCCACCAGCTGTCCAACTCAGCCTCAGGGTAAGAGCCTCACTCTCTCTACTCAAGCTAGATGCATGTGGGGTGGAGGGGTCAGAGCACAACCTGAGACCCTAGTGGGGCAGGAGTAAATCTTTGCATCCCTACCGCGTGGCTTTCGAAACAGGATGGTTGTATTTCGGTCCCACCAGCCAGCCGCAGAAGATGGCACCTTCCTTGAAAAAAGCAGGGTACTAGAATAGGTCTAAAATAACCACATATGCAGAAGTGACGGATAACTCAGGAAACGGGGTGTGCAGGAGGAAAACATTCATTGCTTGGCCCCTGGAACAGCAGAAGCAAGCAGAAATTGATGGTTGGTTTCTATTTAGGCCACATTTCCCTTGGGCACCATCTATCACAGGGGTGAGTAACCTCAGGCTTAGGGGAAAGATGCGGCCCCTGGCTTGCCTGGATCCGGCCCTCAAGGCTCAGCACTGGGGAGCCTGTGCTGGCACTCCAGCCTCCCTGCCACCCACCCACAGGGCTAGAGCACACAAAACCTACTAGCCTGCCCCCCACCCCCCAGGCTCTGTCATGCAGGGGAATGTGGGAAATCTCTCTCTCTCCTAAGGGGTTTCTCACTTTGCTTCTCACTTGTGTGAAGTCCCCAACTGATTTTTTTATGGGTCAGCAGCTCCCAACCCCAAAAAGGTTCCCTACCCCTGCTCTAGCACAATCTCTTCATTGGCTCATTTTCATGGTGAATGGTGAGGCCAGAAGAGCCTCCAGTAGCAGCTTAGGTAGCTAACCTCTCTGAGGCTACATTTAGACTGCATCCGTCTGTCGACAGAGGGATGCAAATCAGGCATGTCAAAATTGCTAATGAAGCAGGGATTTAAATATCCCGTGCTTCATTAGCATAAGCGTGGCTGCTGCTTTTTGTTCTCAACTGAGCTTTTTTGGAAAAACGGCAGTCTAGACGCGGATCTGTCGAAAATAAACCCTTTTCCGTGAGGGTTCATTTTTTGAGGAATACAGCATCTGTCAAAAAAGGGTTTATTTTTGACAGATCTGAGTCTAGACTGCCGTTTTTTTTTTTTTCGAAAAACTCCGTTGCGAAAAAAAAGCAGCAGCCACGTTTTTGCCACGAAGCACGGGATTTTTAAATCCCTGCTTCATTAGCAAATTTGACATGCCTAATCTACATCTTTCTGTCGACAGAGAGGTGTAGTCTAGACACAGCCTGGGAAGGGCCTATTCTAGTAGGCAGAAGAAGGATCACATGCAGGACTGTCATTTTACAGCACTAGGAGAAATGCTTTCATTGGCATGAAACCCCATTGACAAGGTGGGATTGAAAGGTGGAGCTAATGGCTAGCCTTACCAGCCCTCTCAGTTATCCCCGCACCATCTGTGTATTTGGTCATAGGAACAGATGACCCATGCATGAGGTGGGGAAGAGAGGTGTTATGCTTTCGGCACAGGACTGGAGCTCAGGAGAGCTGGGTTCTATTCCTGACTCGGCCACAAACCTCCTACGTGACACCAGTCAAATCACTGCCCTGCCCTGGGCCTCAATTTCCTCACCTGAGAAATGGGGATAAGACCACCCCACTAACAGATGCTGTCAGACTAAGTTAATGAGAGTATGCAATGCGCTTCGAAATCCTCTGATGGAAGATACCATTTCTGGCACTCCCATTTTCAGTTATAAAGCCTTAAATAGGCAGGATACCTTCCACACCACTTATTTTTCTAGTGGATAACAGGTCAGTGGAGGTCAATGCTGGGCTTTAAGCAACACCATCTGTTTGCACCCTAATGCACTGGATGCTGGGTGTTTTCCGTGAGGGTTCCTTGGAAAGGGGGCTATGTTGTTCCTCTCCCTTAAGCTGCCAGTCCTGAGGGACTTATCTATGTGGTGGGGTGAGGCACCCAGAACCAGTCTTAAGGGCGAGCAAGCCAGGCGGTTGCCCAGGGCCGCCATTTTCAAGGGGCCACAGACAGAGCCCGTGTTAGGGGTGGACCACGACCGCATTTCTGCCCAGCCTCCCAAATCCTCCCCCCAGGTTTCCCTGGTTACTCGCTGACATTTTTTCTTTTTGCTTGACAAATTTGTCCTTATTTAAAAAAAAACAACATCTGGGAACCGTACAGGTGATCTGGGCAGAGAAAAGTCATTTCTGACATTTTGTGCATTAATTTGAGCCGTGGAGACCTTGCTGGCGCATGTTAACACAGCTGTCTGAAACCATACTACATTAAAGCACACTAGAGAACCTTTAGAGCACGGAGGTCTGCACATTAGAAACCACACACACCCCAAAAAGTATGTTCCCCTGCCATGTAGACAAGTCTGAGTGCTGTTGAACTTCATGCTGTGGTGTAGAGCTTCGCTGTTCTCCCAGGCAGTGCAGCAGGCAAAGAGACTTCTATGTGGTAGGACTGGGAATAGGCATAGCCCTTTGCATTTTTACAAGAGATTGCATGTGGGCCCAGAGCTGGGGATGCAAGAAACTGAATAAGCCAAATTCATTCAATGAACAAACATCAACGCAACGTATTATTGCTGCCCTGCTCTTGTTATTTGGAAAGTCTAAATATACTGGGGCCAATCACACTCATGGTGTAATTCCACTGAGCTTACTCTAGGAAGGAGTCTGAGACCCATTCTCTCTTAACTTCAGCAGTTCCTAGTCTGACCAGCCCATCATGCGGCCCGTGCCCTGAGCATGA